GTTTACTACACATTACAATATCTTGTCTGATCTAACTTGGGTTTCAATTTTTTTCTGAAATCTGAATGATCCCATTAAGAGATTTAGACTAGATTGTCCTGGATCATTGAAGGCTTATGTAGTTATAGTTCAAAATCCTACGCTATTTACTTACACCGTATTCGTAAGTACTGTGCAAATTACTTAGATTTTTACACTCCTAGTAGAAGTATACGTTGGAACATTGTTTCCTTTTTAATTTAATCATATTAAACCTGGTACAAGTATTGACTGCGTTACATTTAAGTTTTACTGGTATACATATATTTTTAGCCGCGGCATAACGGCTCATAGAATGGCTTTGAGTTTTTCAAGAACAAACTTTTAGCTCATAGCTCCGTCATCTCTCGACCGATTTGAGATCTAATTACAATTTTAAACTCAGGAAGTCAAACCCTTTCGATTGATGTATTTGACCAGCTCAAGATTTCATAGATTAATTTACTCTCATCCTGCCTAAAATAATTTTAATTTGAGGATAGGCTGGTAGAGATACTGATGAGTAATAAAATCGAAACGGGTATACGCGCGCCCCACGCTTGGTATTACTGGCGCACGAACATATAGCTAATAAAAAGGGGGGGAAAAAAACAACAAAGGTCTCATAGATTAACTTACTCTAATCCTGCTTAAAAGAATTTCAAGTGCCGCGGCTATTGAGGGTTCCCTCTTGTTAATAGAATTATCTACAGTTTTCTACAAGTAATATATATATATTTAAATAATCTTATAAGAAACATCATACGTTTCGTATGATATATCCATATTTTCTTTCCGGTATATAGCATTGATTTAGTAGATTAAAGCTAGTTAGCTACATTGAAAAACAGCAGTCAACTGAAGAGACTTTATCAAATATTGAAATTTGATTTTTGTTGTTTAGAGGTCTCTGGTTTTTAATGTTTTAATCGTTGAAGTCCAGTTTTACATATCACTTTTTAAGTATATTTCAAGTTAAATATCAGTGGATATTAATATCCTGTGTACCGTGTAAATGTCTACTGTAAATGCTGTGAGAAAATCTACGCTAATTTAAACACGATGTTTTACACCATACTAATTATCGACAAGTGGAAGTTCAAATGCCTCAAACTATGCATTTAATTTTAATTTAATTAGTACGTTTATATTCTACCTCATAAACATTAGCACTTATAACTTCGCAATACCACCAAAAGAAAAACATGTATATTTAAGTTAAAGCCATACTGTTTGGCCTTGTAATAGTAAATCTTCTGCATCAAAGATTCGACAGAATAAAACAGACGACGAAACCTTTATGCTATGATGCTAGAATTCTAAGTAGATTAAAACGTCGTCTTTACCGATCCCTGGCATCAACATAACTGACTCTTTATAAAACATTCTGAAGTGACTCACTCGTGGGATTCAAATAGGATTTATTCTTATCTAAGACATGTTCCAGAGCTTTATCTTAAACAAGTTGTCAGAATACACAAAAAATTACCCTCGAGAAAAGATACCAAGCTTAGAGTATAAGAGAAGATAATATCCTGAGTAAGTCTAATATATCAGCTGAGCACAGAATCAGATAAGCAGAACAAAAGATACCTTAACAGTTAAGACAGCTTATCCCCATTTGTGAAACAGGTACAAAGACTCTGCCTACCCAGCTTATTGCGTGATTTTAAAAGTTACTTTAATGCCTATTGTAAAATTTCATCAATTTAGAAATGTTCTTAGACTTTAAAGCTCAAATTAAAAGACATGTAGAGTGCTCTCTATATTATATAAGAAATCGTGATGGCTGTGTTTCTATACATGAACTTTAGATGAAATTTTCATTGAGTTTGCAAAAACTACCAGAACATTAATCAGACAAAATGCTCTAACGCAAAGTAAATAATGAAATATATCTTGAAACCCAATTTAGATCAGACAAGATATTGTAATGTGTAGTAAACAATAAAGTACGTCTAATTCAACTTTAATACTTATTTCAAAAGCGTACAAACTTACGATATTAAAACTCTCGACATTCAGTTCACAACTACACGTGTCAGATAGAATAATCAAAGAAAGTCTCTGATAATAAGTCTAACAAATGGCAGTCCGCAAAACATTGTGAGAAAGTCTCTGATAATATGTGTAACAAATAACAGTCCGCAAAACATTGTGAGAAATTCTCTGATAATAAGTATAACAAATAACAGTCCGCAAAACATTGTGAGATCAAGAAGAACTGAATACGTTTTAAAAATACAAAAAACTGAAATAATCAATAATGTTAGAAAAACTTCAGTGTTTATAGTTTGGATCTGAAATATGTTAAGGATTTTGTTTTATAATATCAGAGTAAATTTTTTGCACACGGACGTAACCCATTCATACATCAGATCATTAATTTAGTCTGTAGCCTATATATAAGATCCTGAACTAAACTTGTAACCCGTTCATATAAGAACCAGATTTATAAGTTAGTTATAAATCTGTTAGTTCAGATTTTTAACCTTTAACCCAATAAAGTAATTAGATTAAACCAGATCTACGTTAATATATAGATTCTGTGTGGTTTTACATAATATATTTAAATATTTCTGACTAGATTTGAAAAGTAACAACACGAAACTAAGCATTGCACTGACACAGACTTCTCGCTGAAAACATGTTTATTCTACTCTGATACAAAAGAATAAAGACAATTATTTATAATGAAATTAATGTTTTTAGAAACATTGTCAAATATTTCTGTTCTATGTCAGGCGAACCTTCTTTATTGACCTCATCTTGTTTCATAAGCCGTCTATGTTCATATCTGTAAACAAAAAAACAAAAACAAAAGTTAAAACTACCATTAAATGATAAGATACGCATGCGCTTTAGCCTGAACACAAGAATGGAACGATTACTTGGACCTTGGTTGAATTATTGAATAACCTTGTTTTAAACTGGACTGATGGTTGTACTTGGACTTTGGTTAGATTATTGAATAACCTTGTTTTAGATTGGACTGATGATCGTACTTGGACCTTGGTTGAATTATTGAATAACCTTGTTTTAGACTGGACTGATGGTTGTACTTGGACTTTGGTTGAATTATTGAATAACCTTGTTTTAGACGGTGAAACATTATTTTTAAGAGCAAAATGTTATTTTTTAATTTTAAAAAATTGTTTATATAACGCAGGTTCTAAGTAATTTGTTACATAAATAGATAAACACACAAACACCAACTCACACACATTGCACACAATATTAAAAAAAAAGAAATAAAAAACATACCCAAAGTAATTCGGATAGTACCTGGCTTACAGTACTATAGTTACGATGAAAGATGAATCTTTTGTTGTTGTTGTTGTTCTTAAATAACCTAAAGTTTTTAATTAACAATACGTTCGCTAAATAAATATTTATCAGAAACTTATGTTTAGGATTCTAGTTTTATATTAAAATATTTTCAAACGTTGCCTGTAAAGTTCATCTGTTTAAAGTTTGATTAATGAAGCCCAGAAAGTTATGAGTAGTTATACTGTTTCACATAATTACTAAGAATGTGAGTAGTTATACTGTTTCACATAATTACTAAGAATGTGAGTAGTTATACTGTTTCACATAATTACTAAGAATGTGAGTAGTTATACTGTTTCACATAATTACTAAGAATGTGTTGAGTAGTTATACTGTTTCACATAATTACCAAGAATGTGTTGAGTAGTTATACTGTTTCACATAATTACTAAGAATGTGAGTAGTTATACTGTTTCACATAATTACTAAGAATGTGAGTAGTTATACTGTTTCACATAATTACTAAGAATGTGTTGAGTAGTTATACTGTTTCACATAATTACT